GAGATACTCATTTCATTTTCGGTTGGTCTGGTTTCATTAACATTTGTAAAATAGACCAATCTCTGGCTGTTTTTGAAAGTCTGTTCAATGTAACGCAAAAAGATTTGGACCGAGCCATGCTTTCCAAGGAGGAAAATGAAAATTTGAATAAGATGATCAAAAATTTTCTTTACCAGGTTGTATCACCATACTTCTTGTTGAAAGACACCCAATATATGTTAGAATGGTTAATCTACAGATACTCCATTCATGAATTTAATCTTGATGACCTCATCATTGCTGTACTGCCTTATCATGAAACTAAGCTCTTCCCTCGTGTAGTTCAATTGAATTTAAAAATTAGAGATTCGAGTCACAAATGGCATTGGTTACACAACGTGGGTAAACATGGTGTCCCCTTGCCCAAAGATTCTCTCCTGAACCATCTTAAAAGCAACTCGTCAACTATCAAATTATTGATAAATCACATTTTGGAGACTATTTCAAACCAAAATAAGATACCCGTGGTGCTATCTTTCTTCACATCCACACTTGTCGCCATTTTGGAAGATGATCATTTCATTTTAGAAGATTCTTTCAAATTTGTATTCATCACTATGATTCTCGACTTCATCTCTAAAAGTTCAAAAAGCCAAGAAGCATCATTGGTACAGTCAGGGTACATAGTTTTATCTCAACTTGTTACAAGGACTACCATCAAAGCATCTGTATTGGAAAAGCTTTTGTGCAAAATGGCTAAATATTTCGCATCGTCTAACCACGCTAATGAAGAAAATTTTCTACTAACTCTCTTAATTGTTTTTGAATATCAAGAACTGGAAAAAATTCCTGAGCGGTTGGCTGGTGTACTAAATCTAGACAGATTTGTGGAGATGACTAGTCAGATAAATTCCAACTATCTTTTGACATCTTTATTAACTTTTTACATCAGTAGATGTGAAGATGATGGTGAATATATGAATTGCATTAAATTGATCGATAATCTTCAGCTCAGGACTCGAACTTTATCAAAAGCTTTGGAAGCAATTATTGAGAAGAAGTCGGATGGATCAGCTGATAACTCTAAACTTTGTAATGTCTTACAACTTTTGGAAAGACGCTTCCCTACAGAATTCGATGAAGCGACTAGTACTGTTGATATGCAAGGCTTGAAAGATTTGATTGTTTCGCCATTTTACACTAGTTTAAGCGATAAAAACCTCAACGTTTTCGTTGGTTTAACAAGTGCCAATGAAGGAATACGAGTTATTTCAGCGCGCCATATTGCAACCCACCAGAAAGAAATTTTGAAGTGTACTGACGAATCGACTAAAAAGTGTATAGCCGATGCTTTGACTAACACTCTTCATGAAAGTAATCCTCAAGTTCTCATAGAGCTTCTTTCATGCAAAGATTTATTTACTAAAATGGTCCCACTAAATGATCTCATTGAATATGGTAAAAAGCTTCTTCCACGATGTATCGAAATGATTGGCCAGAAGAATAATGATGATGATGAAATTCAAAACAACTGGATTACTGTAAGGCGAAATTGTTTCAAACTCGTCTCCAATTTAGATCATACAGATGAATCACAATTTTGGGACCTATTTGTTGACTATTTTCTGCCGCTAGATGCTACTGGACTATCTTTGTTTTCAGTTATTTTTGAAACTAACATTGAAAAAAGTAACAAGAAGTTATTCAATTGGATCAAGTCAATCTATACGGAAGAGCTCAAAGCATTCATTGCAGATGAGGATTATGGATCTTCTATAGATATGGTGACTTTACATATTGCTCAATACCTGAACAAACAACCAAACTCTCCGTTACTCGATGTGCTCAATCAACCTGGTAAAGACAATTATCGGAAACATATACTTGGACTTTGTGTTCTTTATCATCTTTTACCACTACAAGCTAACAATTTCGAGGTGTATAACAAGCTTTCCTTGACTTGTATCTCCATATTATCTAAACTCGTCGATTCCAAGCATGTCAAATTCAGGCAAAAAACATTTGAAACTGAGTCTGGAAGTTTTGAAAATATCAAAGACTTTATCAATTATTCTAAAAAATGGCTTGTCAAGAGTATGGTGGTAACTCCTGAAATGATTGAGCTTTTTGTTTTCAGGATAATTTCTACCAAGCAGTTGCCTGATACGAATACATGGTTTTGGCATTCTCAAACTATTGAAAACAATTACATCCATGGTCTCTTCAATTTTCTTTGTCATCACAGTCATCATGGAAAGGTACAATCTTTAAATATCTTTCAGAGGATGCTTAAGCATTTCATTGATGAGATGATAAATTTTTGTCCAAAGTTTCTGATTGGTTTATGGGTTAAATCGAACGATCCCCTGTTACAAGCCAGAGCCCTTCAAATTTCATCTTTTGCTCTCAAAAAGATCACTTTCGACGAGATTGACTTGCTATCACTTTGTATTGCCTTACAATCGCCATATTCACATGTTCGAAGTGAAGCCGTTAAGGTCTTGGATCTTGAATGCAAACCTCGTGCTTTCTTTAACTTCTTTAAATCATTTAAAGAATTAATTGTGGGTGACAACCGAGAAATGAGCATAGCCATGAGTAAATTCTTGTCCGAAAATCCTTCAAAAGGCAGTTCTTTGACTTTTAAATGTCTTGAAAAGCATCTTAAAAACCGTTCTACTCCTTCTTCTATTCGAGTAGAAATTTCAAGCATGTTGAGAGACTATCAGACAAATGAATGTGTTGAGTTATTCTTGGAGCTTTGCAATACATCTCTTTGCACATCTAGTCCAAGTTTAATCGAAAAGCAAATGTGCTTCTTTGGTGGTCGCAAAATAATTGAAAAACTACCAGATCTCGAAGAAATGGCGGAATCTACTCAACGAAAGATGTTCGATCTATTCAAAAAAATCTTGACCCATGATGATTATCGCCTTCTACTTCTAGATTTGTTCGACAAAGCTTATGTTCGAGAATTATCGGAAGGTGCTAAAATTTTTGTCATCAAATCTTTGCTGAATTTGATCGATTTTAAAAATGAAAGCGCTACCAGAAGAAAATTGAAAAAGTTTTTAACTGATGGTGAATTGGTTGCTAAGATTATTGAAGAAATTCTTGATTCTGATAAAGAAGATCCAGATACTTCGGTACAAACCAAAAAAAGGAAAGTTGACAAAGCCTCTGCTGAACAAGCATCAAAGAAAGACAAGAAAATTGTTGAACCTGGAACAAACGAATGGAAGAAAATCGTTATTTTACTTGAAATATTCGCTTCTAAGGAGAAATTCGATGGAGCTGATAAGTTGATAGAAATAGTCTTCAAGCTTCTTAAAGATAATCTAATACCAGACGAACAATCTTCTCAGTCAGAATATTTCCGATCTCTTCTCTTAGTCATTCTTTCGAGCTGTCTTGACCAAAATGACATCGACATGAGTAGTTGTAATTTAAGTCATATTGTTGAAAGCTTACGACTTGCAAGGCTTAGAGAAACTCGAATGCAAGCTCTATCCATCATCAATCGAATCTCAAGTCAAAGAAAAGACGGTATTTTGGAAGACATCTTTGGAATTTTCGGCTTCATGGGTGATGACTTGATCAAGTATGATGATCAATACACTCTCAAAATTCTAGATGATACCATGGAAACATTAATTCCAAGTTTGGCTCATTGCAATAACGAGTCTCCTAAAAAAATTATTGAGACATTTATCGACGCATTCGATGGTATACCTGTTCATCGTAGACTATATTTATTCCAGAAACTGGCTAACCTTTTAGGAGAGGAAAACTATCTCTGGATTATTGTTGCTAAATTAGTTCGCCGTTCTCAAGACATTGAAGATACAAAGAAGGAAATACAAGAGTTTGCTTCTGCTCTTGTTTGTAGCTTTGATGCATCTATTCAAATGAATACGATCAAGCAACTTATGGAAATCAGCTTAAAAATCCTGACTTCCAAGTTCATTCCAGCACTATGGGAAAATTTCCGACTAAATGACATCAGCAAAAGCGAGTTTGTTCGTGAAGTAATCGAAACCATTTATCTAGTGGTTTCTTCGGACAATTATGTTTCAGCCATTGCCAAATCCAAATGGTCTGATGTTGTTCACCTGTTTAATGAACTATTTGAAACTAATTTATTATTGATCGATCAAAGTAACAAGACTATCAGCAAACCTGGCCGTTATAGCAATCGACTTACTAAACAGCTTCTAAGAGTCTTGGAAAAGGTAAAATTTGTTTATTATTGCTTTTATTCTTTATTAATTTTGTTTTCAATTATTATTGAATTAGATCAACTCTTTGTTGCCTGGACCAGAATTTATTTCTGTTATGCATCGTCTACTCGATTCATCTACTCTAACTGTCAGACGAAAGGCACTTAGCCTACTCAATGCTCGATTGATGACAAACAATCTTAAGAAATCAGAGGTGAGTTTTGTTTTGCTATTTTTTCGTGATGCTAACTGTCTTTTTTCAATTTCTTAATTTCATGTATTTTCTTTTCAATTTTCCTTTACAGATTTCAATGCTTCGTGACTTTATTCAGCCTATTGTGAATATCATAGCTGATATCAAGGAAAATAAAACCGATTATCAAATTGTCACATCACAAACTGGTTTGGAGAGCATAATCCTCATTTCTAAATTATTGGACGGTGATCAGGATAGCACCCAATTGCTTAATGCAGCTTTAAAATCAATACTTTCAGTTTCTGAAGAAATTTCAGATATTGAGAAACCTAATTTACTGGCATCAATTATTCTCTGCATTTCTCAGTTAGTTACCTGTTTACAAGATAATTGTTTGCCTTTGTTCCCATCTGTTATGTCAATCACTTTGGCAGCTTTAAAAGAAAAGTAAGTTACACTCAATTCATTAGTGAATTTGTTTCCTCTCTATTATTTTACATCTTCTCTGTTCGTGTTTGCTAATTAATTATGCCTCTTGAAAACATTTCATACCATTGAAATGATGACCGATGAATATTTTTCGTCACCTGAAACATTATATATGTGGAATTAATTCAACTGATCAATGGTGTCATCCTCATTAATCATAATTCTGTGTGTTTGTTAACGTTCAACTATTTTCTAACTAAACTCTCTTTCTCCTTTCAGATCGGATGATACACAACACACTTTACTACTCAGCTCTCTAACTGGTCTCAATAAAATTATTAAATGTTTTGGTAAATTTTTAAGTTCAAATCTTGTCGAGCTATTGTTAACGGTAAGTTTAAAAGTCGCACTACAAAAAATACAATCTATAAAATTAATTTTCAATCTATTTTTCAGATTTGTTCCCTCAAATCAAAGCATATTACTGGTATGGCACAAAAA